TTTTCCTCAACAAAAAGTCAATGTGTTGTTTTCAACTACAAATTTAAAATAAATCAACACCTATCCCTATATAACACACCAATACCTATACAAAAAACCATTAAAATACTAGGAATAATTTTTGATGATAATCTCAAATGGACAACACACCTAAAATAACTTTAAGTCTTCTGCAAAAATAAAATTAATATAATCAAAACCTTATCTCACCAGACTTAGGGAGTAAATCAAAAGTCATTACTCACCATATATAAATCCCTTATTTTAGCCAAAATCAAATTTAGCTCACAAATATATAACTCAGCTAAACTCAATCTCCTCAAAATATTGGACCCCATTTATAATGAAGGAATACGATTGGTAATTGGAGCATATACAGGACAAGTCCAATTGACAGCATCCTCAACTATGCTGGAGAAATCCCGTTACAACTACATAGAGACCAAGATACCCTAAATTACATCATCAAAAGGAAAAGTACACCCAACCACATAGGACACAAAACCATATTCAACAAACTTACTGCATCACCTATAACCACAGAACAGAAAAAATTCCTACTCAGTACGGGACATATTTAAAAAACTACAGCAATCTATGAACATCCATACCTAAGTCGTAAACAAAAGCACATCCCATTTCTCGCCACCCTGGAAATGGCAACTAAAACTAAATAGTGAACTTCTCAAATTCAATAAGAGCGAAACAAATAATATTATAATCACCTCCCATTTTAAAAATATTATAGAGCATTCATTCTACAATTCCACACAAATATACACTGATGCATTTAAATCTGAACTTGGAGTAGGTTTTTCTGTAATCATTAATGATACAATCATACAACACAATCTTCCAATATCAACCAGCATTTTTTCAGCCGAAAACTACGCCATTTATGAAGGTGTAAAACTTGCAAATACTTTAGAATCAAATAATATACTTATAATTAGTAATTCCCTTAGCACCTTACTAGCGCTCAAAGATCTATCCACAAAAAATGAAATAACCTTCAAAATATAAACAAAACTAATGGAAACAAAAAAAAAATATCGAATTCATGTGGGTACCATTCCATATTGGTATCGCAGAAAATGAAATAGCTGATAAATATGCTGATATTGCAACGAAAAATATTCCAACCCCTAAAATAAATAACATTTCCTCTAACGACATAATAAATTCCATCAAAAAGAAAATTCTATCACTCTGGCAAAATCAATGGAATTCAATACCAACTTCCAATAAATTAAAAAATATCAAAAAAACAATTAAAAAGTGGCACACCCCTATTTACTTCAACAGACGTCAAGACATTGCAATCACCCTCACCAGAATCGGATATTCCTCTCTCATACACTCATATTTAATTAGCAAAGAACCTCAACCAAGATGCGATACATGCAACCAAATCATTACCATCAAATATATAGTAGAAGGATGCACTCAGTACACATCAATACGCACCGATTTGAACATGCCGACCAATATAGCAGAAGCACTCAATGAACTACAAACTTTTAAAATAATTGAATTCCTAAATATGACTAATATTATTAAAAAACTATGATAACTATAATAATAAAAAAAAAAAAAAAAAGTAAAGTACTTTATGTATACCTAATTTTAAGATAAATACATTGTAAAATCTTGACAAGCTAATAACCCTCGTTGTTGAAGCTTTAATTCTCAAATAAAAAAAAAATAAAAAATAAAAATATAAAGAAATTGTTAACGTTTCTGACATAGTTTATAATATAGTTGATACAGATATATGATGAACGTTCTATTATACTTCATATTCAATAAATAAATAAAATTGTTTTTTATTTACTTATGATCACACTGTTTGGCATAAATTATATTGAATTTTTTTTTCTTGTTTTTATGATTTCAGGCTCAATTAAAGCAGGGAGTCAAAACGGATTTCAACTAAGTTTTTAAATCAGGGCTTCAATCAAAATAATATATATTGTTTACCGTTATGGGACATTTAAACTTTATAAGCAATTGAGCATTTAACGTTATCAATAATTTAAATGTTATTCAATTTAAGCGTTTAAACGTTACACAAATTTAAACGTTTAAAAGTGTTTCCGCTTATAGATATGATACCAAAAAAAAAAAAAATACAAAAAAATAACTAAATACCTATGCTAAACAAAAAGTACCAGATAATATGTTGTAAAAAAAAAAAAAAAAAAATAAGCGAGTAAAATTATTAAGGACATATATAGTTCTAATAAAAACAAAAATATACAATATGCATAAATATACTAAAAAATGACTAACTAGTAAATATGTGGTAAAAAAAGTGTTATTAAAAAATGTTATCTGATAAATACCTTGGTTATGGTTGTAAATGTTTAAAACCGTAGCAATATCCGTGGAAGATAATACCACTTCGTTCCACAACCAAAAAATGTTATGATATAAGAAGATAAACAAAAATTGATACCCGTGACTAAATAACATATTAATTAATTTATTATCATATTATAATGATAGACTAGTAATTTATATTCCTAATTATTTATACATTACATTTTTTAAATAAATCAATGTAATATATAAAAAAAAATACGAGCCATGGGGGGGGGCGAATGCCCCCTTCGCCCCCCTCAAATACGTGCTTGAAATATACTGAACATTTTTTTAAAAAAAAATAAGAAAAACGAGAAAAAAAGAAACAAAGATATCAAAATTAATTAAAAATGTATGAAATAATATGCTTTATAGTAAAATATAAGACAGACGTGTGTGTGTGATTAGCAGTACATGAGCAAACAACTAAGACAGATTCACCAATTTCGAGAAAAATACTGTTAAATAAATAATTATTATGTGTGTGTTCCATACAAATTATTATTCATTATCGATATAATATTATCATTGGACGACACGACAATGCATGGCTCGACGATCGTATAGGGTAAATCCAAAAAATGAATACGACGTTGATCTATAAATAAAAATGTTTGTGAAAAAAAATAAGTAGTTTTATGTTTGATAGTGCAATAATTGTCAATATACAGTAAACTGCTAATATTCAAAACTTGATGAATTTTAGTGAAAATTATAAAAACATTTAAAACTAGAATTTATTAATTTTAGATAAAATGAGGGGGCCATGGAAATTTCTATGGAGTCTACAACCCCTACAGCCCCATGCATACTACGCCCATACTAATGTTTCATTGGTGTTCACCGAAATTATTTTTGATGAAGCAGGCCGTTACAGGTTCCGCGCCGACAATATCCGACGTAATTTCAAAAAGCATATTTATAAATTATAATTAGTAATGCTTATTTATATTTTATTAGTTGATAAATTTATTGCTGTTTTAAACATCCTTTTATATTTATTTTATTTGGATTACCTAGTAGTTTAAGTCAATTTTACAAAAATCACTATGTTCCAAATACATTTTACTGATAGTTATAAATATGTTTCCATGGCAATTTTTTTTATGTTCTTTTATGTTAATCGTTTTCTGTTATGTTATTCGATATTTATTTAAATCGTTTTTCGTTTCTGTTTCGTTATCCGTTATCCCTTTTCATCGTTTATCGTTTACCGATATGTTATCTGTTATCGATTTCAATTGTTTTTTTTAATAGTTTAACGTTATAAAAACGTTTTGGTGGCCTTTTTTAAATACTGTATACATTTTAGTAGCAAACTTTAATAAATTAATTTACATTAGGAAAACATAAAATCCGGTTTTATGGTAAATAGTTAACAAAACTCGAGAAAATTAAACTCGTTTTGACGCCCTGAATTTAATTGTCTCTCTCAATATAAATAGAATATACTCGATGCTGTTTTCAATACACATCATATTGAATGAATATCAAAAATTGAATGTCTGAGAATAATAATTGACAATATTCTGGACCGAAAATATTGATTAAAATTACCTACTACTAGACGAAATTCAATCGTGATTTACTGAGAGTAAATAAAAAATACTAGGAGAATTTTTCAAACGGTTTAATTGACATTTATAGTTAAGATTTTTATTATACCATAGTTTTTGCTTCACTCATATTTCTAATTAAACTAAAAGGATATAATAACAATAATAATAATAATAATAATCATAATAACAATATTATGGCTGTTGTTATCAACATACTCTTATATTATTTTTTTTTCATCTTGAATTGGTATTACAACAAACTAATAAGCTCCATGGTTGGTTAAGTTATTTCCATTTATTACAGAGATACAAAAGGAAAAGTTTTAAAATATAAAAATTATACGCCTAATGAATATTTGCTATGAATTATTACAATTAACGACGCCATAGGTTTTGGAATATACTTAAAATACTTTAGTACACGTGTATACCGTTGTATTCAATATTCTTATAATATGGTATCATGTTATACGTCGGTTTTGTACCTAAGTAGTTATAATAGTTATAATTTCGAATTGCATAGATTACGAGGTCGCGTTTCGTAATATTTGAGTAGTATATATGTACTTACGAAAATAAGGTCACGTATACTTCTACTCCCTCCCCCCCAACAATCATGATTTGACGACCAAAAACTATTTTGCTTGTCGCCACGATAACAATAAGCGTTATTATATATTTATAGTTCATATTTACGCGCATTTTTACCGAAAATAAACGACGACCGTTAAAAATAATATCAACTTAATCGAGATGTGCTTGTGTGTGCGCGCGGATGTGTGTGAGTAAATGAGTATTGGTTTGTCACACTGCGCTATAGACAATATGGTGGTAACGCGCACGGTGAGCACCATGGTATGGATTTCAAGCGACAATATCATAAAAAAAAATATAACAGCGTTATTAGTACATTGTTCGGTTGTCGGATGGGTCGCGATGATTTGACGTTATTATTGTTGTTACAGTAACGTTGTTTTTGTAAATAATGCGATATTTAGGTTGGCCGCTGCTGTTCGTCGCCGCTCCCTCCCCTCGATGACGACGACGACGACCGCGTGCCGCCGCCGCCAACGCTATCGTCGTGGGAGCACGTGATCCGTCCGAAAAAACCGTCTTCTCGCGCGCGCAACGACACACGCGCGGACTTGAACGCCTCGACGTTCGTTCAAACGCCAGTCGCGCGCTCGCAGGTGTTGTTGCCGTTGCCGTCCTCCGCCGTTCGCCGTTCGCGTTGTGAAAGCAAACGGATTTTGTTAGCGTTGTCGTTTGTACGTTTTTTGTTCGTCAACGTTTTATCGGTATCGCGAACAGTCCGTAACCCGTGCACGCGGATGGGGTGAACTTGTGTTACACGTATGTGTGACCCGCGAGACCGTTTATTGTGCGCGGTTTACCCACGCGGCGGCGGCGCGCTCATCGCTGAAACGGTGTTCGCGAAATAGAAAACGAGTAAAACCGACGAAATGTGATCGCGTCGTGGTCGAACGATATACGTCGCGGTGCACTACGATATTTTATGGATCATCGCGATGGCGTATGTCGTCTGGCGAGTGTTGCGGAAGAAATATCTGAAAGTCAGAAGTGGACTCGCCATCGACGGCCCCATGGTGAGTACCCGCTTGGTTTTCGACAATTCGGTCAGGTATTCCCGGCGCAGTCGTATCGGTGATGAGCGTAGTATTTATTATTTGTTACACAGTGTATATAAGTCGGCAGCTGGTTTTCCTCATCGTTTCTCGGGTACGTGGAAGGGGACGGGGTTCGCCATGGAAATTGGACACTGCTTTCAAAATCCCGCTACGAGTTTCACGAATGTTCGTTATTATTTAAACGAATCCTAGGGGTTTGCCAAGAATCCTTTAACCATTGCCTTTAGTCGTTCGATTATTGTATTTTATGTTTACGTAATGTCACTGCTACAACGGCGTCTTTTATACTCGAAAGTCCGTCGCCGGCTATAATCGCGGTAATCCCGGTATTTTTGCCGTTAGATGATTTGTTTTCTCGAGCACCTTGGTCGGAATTTTTACATGACGTGCGTGTCCGTATGCGTTTATTGGGTTTTTGGTGTATAAATATGTGGTTGGCATCGTAGCAGTGTAGATGACCGTGATATGTGTGAGATTAGTGGGAACATGGTATATTACACCGTATATTTATGAGCACTGTAGAAACGATATTTATGTAGCAAATTAGTTCTGCCGTCGATAAACCACTAGATACACTTGATAACGAGCGCAGTTATGATGTAGACTTGTGAAACGCTGTTGTTTGATAAAACGTTATCGCTGCTAGTATTTTCTCGAGTTTACCAGGGTGAAATGACGTGTACCTACCTGCCACCTATGTGTGATTTTGATTATGACACCGCAGGCTAGGCGGGTCTGGATACCCTTTAACAAGGTGCATCTACATATAACATAATATATAATATGTAAATATGTATTTACAAACATACCGATATAGCATTGTTTAAAGTAGGTTTACTTTAATGGGTGCAATAGAATTAGCATTTTGATTTTATATTTGTTCGCCGGTCGAGTTGGCACACGATAAGCTCAATAATACAAAACAAACAAAGTCAAATTTAATTTTTATCAATAAGATTCGACAGGTATATAAAAACACACACGTTTGTAGAAATACCTCCTAGTTCATACATATATAACTATTTTAAACATCGGTCTACGATTAATATTTACAGGCTATAGAGAGTGCATTATAAACAGTTGATTTTTTCACTGCCTAACGGTCATCAGTATTTTTTTGGTACCTTGCGACATTTTTTTAATTTTCTTTAAAATAGATTTCACCCATACAATGTCTTAATGTTTTTGACGTATTTTTGTTAGTTTTTTTTTAACTTTTTATCTCCTGAATAAATTGTTGTGCTTTAATATCTAAAATTGGTATTGATTTTACCAATAACAGTCTGTTAACAGATATTTCTGTGCGTATGATAAATTAATCGGTCATTTCGAAAAGGTCATTTCTCCACACATTTTTAAAACTAGTTTTATGTGATAGATGTGTTTAACTAAGAATAATACATATTTCCTGCGAGACTGCCATTTCATACTTGATTTTTATATGGAATTAAATAATTCAACCTTTTTTTAAATTTTTATCTAAATTTAATTTTGAACTCTAAAAACAGTTTTATACGTTTTCTGACAATTTTCATTTTATTGAGATTTGTCCTTTCGAAATGACCGATTCAAATATTATTATACCTTTTTGTAACTACAAGTATTTTAAATTTCACAAATATACATATAAGTATATGTGTATATATGTATATATTGCACAAGTATGTGTGGAATATCATATTGTATTATTTTTGATTTAATTTGATTCATTTTCACGTGTAGATAGCTCGTTAACTGTCCTGTAACTCAATCATTTTAATAACTCGAGGTAAAATGAATACTGTTTTTGAATTAAACGAAAGTATGTCGTGAACACGTATAAATTTCTTTAATATGAAGTTGGTTCTTAATAATTAACTTACTATGTATAATATATATAGGCAGTGGTGTATTTATATGCAGGTACTATAGGCACGTGTCTACAGTGCAAATTTGAACAATGTATTTTGTTATTAATAATAAATAAAAATGGTTTAAATATTAAGAAATTTTGTTTTAGTATTGAAATAAAATTAGTTTTGCATACTTACTTAATATATACTTAATATATTTTATTGTTAGTAATTAAATGATAATTTAGTTAGTACAATGTATTATTTTAGTTATTTAGAGCGACAATTTTCCACAGGCCTATACGCGGGAAACATATAAATACGCCCTGTATATAGGTAGATGTTTTTTGATCTTAAAGAATTCTATTTAAAAAAAGTAACTAAAATATAAACAAATTTATAAATTTTTAATACTTTTTATTAAGTGTACATACTTAAATAAAAATAATACACTTAACAGTATTTATTATTTTTTGTAACTATTAATACTATTATTTCCAAGATAGTGTTTACTCCAGAATTTAATTTTTTTTACATATTTCGTTTGTACAATGGATTTATTTATGTATTTATTTAATTTCTGTAAATTTAAAAGCACATTTAATATTATTGTGTTCACCTTCAGAAACGCCTCTATTAAAAAAAATATAACAAGAAAAAATATGAAATGGTGGGAGATCATACTTGTTGGGGGATAAAAACGCGCACTCTATGTCAGTAATATTTTCATGGAATAATTATGACCTTAGTTTGCTATCGTTTTATTTTGTATGCTAATTAATTAACAATGTTTACATATTGTACATCTTATAGTACGTCGGTGTGCCATTTGTTGATTATTGGTTCAATCATTATGCAATTGAATATATTAAGTACGTACATCATTGATGAACAATTGCACCATGACCATTTTATACCTTGTGCAAGAATACAATGAAAACGTAGGATTGGAGGTCTACTAAATTTAGTATGGATGACTAACGAGTGTTGTTCGACGTAGGTTTATGGTATGATTGTGAACGAATGGAAAATATATGAATTGTTATGAATGCTATTTAAAAAATTCTATATTATTTAAATATTTTTTTTTATTGTGATTTGTATAGACGTCTAATTTTTATTTGGAATTTCAATTTTGATTACCAACTAAAATTAGTGAATGCCATTTTTTAACTGCGATAATCAATAGCGATCACTCGACTTTTAGAAATTACTTTTAAGGTGGTAAATTTGAATCATAGTTTTTGTACACCTGATTTTGTGCAAGTTTTATTGGTCTGAGCTGAACTAATTTTTTTCATAGTTTCAGATTAAATTATTGAATAAAATTGTCTGTTTAAATGGATGGTACATTGATAATTGATAAGTAATGTAAAGTAATTAATAATAATTAGTTATAATAAAATTTAAATATTTATCTCATGATCATGGGTTATAAATTATTCGAAATTGATTAAGCTTTACCAAAATGTATATGTGTTATATGAAATTACCTTTTAAAGTACAAAATAATATTATTTATTAATATATTAATATTTTATTTAATATTTTAATATTTTTATTAATATATAAATAATTTATTAACTAATTAATATTACAAGAATTTATTGAAGTGTTCAATTAATTTTGATTTTAGAGGTATTTGAATAATTTTACAAAATATAGTCGCACAGAATTATTCTTAATTTTTTAATTTTATTAATTATTTTAATTTTATACTTATAAACAATTTTATTACGTTTATTTATAATACATGCTACACTTATACTTGTAATTATTTGGGTTCGATAATCTAATAGAACAATTGCTTACATTGAGACGAAACGATGATCGTTTCACAGACATAAATTTGTATCAGTTTTATCATATATTTGTATTTTTATACATTGTTGTCTGCGGGGTTGCCTGTCATTACATAAAACAATTTATGACCTATTTATTTTTAATGATTATAAATAATTACATACAATACTTGTGGCAATATCTATTTAAATTTGTATAGTTGTATGACAACTCTTGATATAAAAAAAAACTCATCTTTAAATTATTTTTTCACACATTTAGAGGCGTTGTTTAGTTATTTTTTGTAATTTTATTTATTGGCCAATAACAATAATAATAAATACGAATTGTAATAAATAATTTAGAATGTATATATATTAAAATAACATACCTAATTAACCTAACTAACCTATCTTTACATAGACTCGTATTTATTATTTATATTGTTTGTAAAATATCTTATTTGTATTATGTGGGATATTCTGCTGTATATTTTATTTTATATATTTAATTAAAATTCATATATGCAATAATTTAATTATATACTTTTATGAGTTCTTCGAATAGTTGTAACTCGGGTTGTAATTATTATATTTTCATTAAAATACGTATAAAATAACCCGATAAATTAACTGTTGATTTTAAATATACATTCTTTTAAAATATGTGAACTAATATAACGTATTATTATTATATATTTAGTAAATAGTAACTAATAAATACGTGCTTCTTTTATTATTGGTGAGGATTATTGATATAACTATGCCAAATATGAATAGATAAATTCATCCCATTTAATTCATCTTTTAGAAATATGATGTATAAAATATTTTAAATTTGTGTGAAACTTAATGAGGTAATTGCTTAAATGTTTATTGGTTCATTAATTAAATTAATGTTTAGATTTATGTTATGTAAAACCGTATATTTTGTATGATATAAAATATATTTCTAACTTAAGCTTGATCAACTGGGCAATCTGGATTTTACGTTTATATATCAAAAAAATATTTATTTACATTTAGGAACCTATGAATATGAGTAAAAATGTATGCATTCTTATGGTTTTAGAAACTTATACATCTAGTTATTTTTTATAGTATTATAACATATTGATAACACACACTTAATTAATGACTTAATATCAGAGTATAAAATATAAGAAGGGTGAATAACCTTCGTTTAAAGTATAGTTTTATGCATATAATACACATAATTGTGTTTCTTCGACACTATTTTATGCCATGATAGTCTAATTGTATTGTTCCAAAACTCTTATTATGCTAATTCCCTGCTGCATCCTAATAACGCGCAATTAAATGAACGGTGAAATGTTTGCCCATC